CTATATGGCTTTTTAAAAAGTACACATTGAAATCATCTTATACAAGTAATGCTATAGAACCACCAGGAGCAAGAATGGAAAACAACAGCTATACCAGCAGGCTCACAGACATGAGAAGTCACTGTCTGTGGGATCCACACTAGGAGATATGTCTAATAAAACATGAGAGTTGCTGAGTGGAGAGTGGACACTCCAGGCAGTGTGAACCAGAGCGCCATGTCTTTCCACAACCTAAACAATTTTACAGAGATGATAAGGGCTTTAAGATACCCGACACTTATGAGTTCTTATGTATCTTTGAGATACATAACTCTATGGAAAATTTCTGCACACCAAATTTTGCGCTTGTATCTGAATGTCTTCTCTAGCTTGTGTAAAGTATATAATTGAACTTTATTGAAGTCTAAGAATGAATACTTGATATTACTTATTAACCACCTAGAAACAGGATATTGTTGTAAAGCTAAAAGAAGAGTTCCAAAAATGTGAGTTTGACAAGCTTAGTTGTAACCTGGTAAAACTAGGTTAAGTTTTGAACTTCCAGCCAAGATGGGGGCATAGGTAAACACAGTACTCACATCCTTGCACAAACACATCAAAATTATGACTAATCTACAGAAAAGCCACCCTTCAGAATCATCAGAAATTGAGCTGAATGGAAGTTCTACAAGTACAGATTTAAAGAAACTACATCCATTATGACTGGCAGGAGGGGCACAGACACAGAACAGCTTGGTCCCATTTCCATGTGTGGTAGATAACAATCAGGAGGAATTATCTCAGGAGTAAGGGGTCCCAGCACCACACCAGGTCCCTCAGTGCATGGTTTGAGTGCCAGTAAAATAAGTCCCTGCAACTTCTGGCTCCAAAAACCATGGGGCATTGAGGATGGGAAAGCATGAAATTTCTGGACTCCCTGGCAGTTCCTCTCAAAGGACCCACACATGGACTTACTCAGACTCATTGCTTCCGAGTTCCAGCACCAAGGAAGCTGCTTGAAAGGCATCAGAGACATTCAGAAGGAACTGAAGTATTTGGCATCAGGGTTACACGGGTGGGGGTATGCAGATTTCTCCCAGACAGAAGTACTGTCATAGGCACTGTTCCTTTTCTAAGACCTCCCCATACAGAGCCACAGAGCTCTGGGAACCGTATCTAAGGCTCCATCAATCAGGTTCACACTGTTTGTCCCAACCTGGTGATTCCCTGATGCCTTGCCTGACCCAACTTTTGGGCCCATCCAAGCTGTTTCCAGTGGCTTTTCCATACCAGTGGCTTGTCTTGACCCATGCTTTAGATTATCAGAAATGAGCAGCATCAGGCTTCAGCAAGCCCTGCACCTCTCACTAAGTTGCCTCAAGGCCAGGACAAGTAGCAGCCATCTGCAAATCACTGTGTAGCTAATGCTCTTTGACCCTGGACAGAATACAGTCAGCTCTCCTTGGATGTGCCACCACCAATCAAGGCTCAACAACAAGAGGAGAGTATAAACAAACCACACAGTGACAGCCCCCTGAGGGCCCAGCTTGGGTTATGGCAGAGGCTGTCCCACTGGACCCTACAGGACACCTACCACATTAGGCCACACTACCAAGACATGGAGTCATAGCAGCTCTACCTAATAGACAGAAACAAACACAGGGAGGCTGCCAAACTGAGGAGACAAGGAAACATGACCAAAATGAAAGAACAAAAGAAAACTCCAGAAACAAGTACTGAACAAAATGGAAACAAGTAAGCTACTGCATAGAGTTCAAAATACCGGTTATAGGGACGACCATAGTGAGAACTATGTTCACTACACTCAGTGAACATAGTGAAAACTTCAACAGCATAAAAAAGAGCATGGGAACCATAAAAGAGAAACAGTCAGAAATAAAGGATACACTAATTAAAAGTTAACAATTTACGGGGAATAAATACTAGAGTGGATGAAGCTAAGAATCAAACCAGAAATTTAGAATATAAGAAATTTTTTAAAATCCCAATCAGAACAGCAAGAAGAAATAGTAACCCCCCCCCAAAAAAATGAGGATACTGTAAGGAGCCTCTGGGACAACTTTAAGCACACCAACATTTGCATCATGGGGGTGCTGCAAGGAGAAGAGAGAGATCAAGGAACTGGAATCCTATTTGAAAAAATAATGACAGAAAACTTCTAACTTGGTGAAGGAAATAGACATACAACTTCAGGAAGCACAGAGTCCCAAACAAGATGAACCCCAAGAGGCCCACCTGAAGACACCGCATAATTAAAATGCCAAAGGTTAAAGAGAAAGAGAAAATCTTAAAAGCAGCAAAAGAAAGGCAATTAGTTATGCACAAGGGAGCCCCCATAAGACTGTCAGCTGATTTCTCAACAGAAACTTTGCAGGTCAGATGGGACTGGCAAAAAATATTCAAAGTGATGAAAAGCAAGGCCCTACAACCAAGATTATTCTCCTATCCAGCAAAACTATCATTTACAATTCAAAGACAGATAAAGAAGTTCCCAAACAAGAAAAAACTAAAGGAGTTCATCATCACCAAACCAGCATTATATGAAATGTTAAAGGGTCTTCTTTAAGAAGAAAAAGATAAAAAATATGAATAAAATGGCAATACATATCTATCAACAAATGAATATATAAAAAAATAAACAAGCAGAACAGAAACAGAATCACAGATACAGAGAACATTCTGATGGCTGCCAGATGGGAGAGGAGTTGGGGGATGGGCAAAACAGGTGAAGAGAATAAGAAATACAAATACGTAGTTACAGAATGACCATGGGGATGTAAAGTGCATCATAGGAAATGGAATAGCCAAAGAACTTATATGTGAGGCCCATACACATGAACAATGGTGTTGGGATTGCCTGATGGAGAAGGGAGGGGCTGGATGCAGGGGGGAAAGAGGAAAAATTGGGACAACTATAATAGCATAATCAATAAAATAATTAAAAATGTAAAAAATAAAATTAAAATGTAAAGAAAAATAAAATAAAATAAAATAAATGAGGTGACTGGAAGGAGGTGGTCTTGGAACCTAAAACAGCTTTATCTGCACCCTGTCATGCTACCAACAGACTAGCCATTTCTAAAGAGCAGGAATTTTTCCTTCAAAATTCCATCTAATTTCCTTCTTAATCCTCCAAGTAGTAATTTTTAAATACCAGCATCTCAGGTTTTTAAAGATGACCATCTGATTATCTTTCTAAATTTTCTCCTCAAAGTAAAAGAAAATGCTTTGGTTACTGCCTTGAATGAGGAGTGTTAGAGTCACAAGAACACTATTCTTTTCAATAATCACACTAATAATTTAGTGACTAAGAGACAGGCAGTCTAATGGTGTTTGTTGATAATGATACTGATCTTCATGTGGTGCTAACATTGTTAATACACTCTACAGGCATGTGTGTTTGGGGGTATGGAGAAATTATTTCCATCCATCCAGGGAGAAGAGATTAAATTAAGGCTAAATATAACTTTGAATACAATCTGCATACAAAGTGCTAGAAGAAATGGGTACAATATGTGACATGCTACATAGAAAAAAATAGGTCAACTACATTAGAAATAAAATACGCTTTCCCAGTCTAGCCTGGGAATCTAACTAATGCTTATTAAATTGTTTATAAGCTTCAAAAACAAATCCCAAAACCAATATCAGAAATACAACATGTTCTTTAGCTGAGGACTGCTTTCTGTTTTTCTTTCTAAAGGTTTTATTTATTTATTTTTAGAGACAGGGGAAGAAAGGGAGAAAGAGAGGGAGAGAAATATCATAGTATGAGAGAGAACCATTGATCAGTTGCATCTCACATGCCCCCACCAACCAGGGACCTGGCCCACAACCCAGGCATGTGCCCTAACGGGGAATCAAATCTGTGACCTTTGGGTTTGCAGGACAACACCCAACCCACTGAGCCACACCAGTCAGGGCAGGACTGTCTTCTATATCAAATCTAATTTAGTCCAGTTTCTCACCATGGTAACAAGCCTTTTGCAAAAATACTCAAAAGACATTTCACATCTCAAAAATTTTCCTCGTACTTCTTCACCACACATAATGTCAAGAAAAGCATGCTTCAAAGGTCCTATATAATCAGAATGGCCTTTAAAACAGGCACAAAGAAAATCTTATATCATTCCTATTAAAATTAAATCTACTTTATAATAATCTTCAAATTGGATGCACAGCATCAAAGAAAAGAATCCTGAGGTGTTTGGGACCCGATACTCTAGTTTTTAAAATCATTTATCTGTAACATTGCTTTAGAGACAACTTAAGTGCTTCTCAGTTGGCCTGTAATGACTATTTCTTCATGATTAAAAGGAAGTGTGCATGTGGCATTGGGCACAGAGTACTGAAATAAGTTTGGTCGTAGCTTTACATGGATAGACTAAGCCAGAGCACCAACTAAAAGGAGGCCAGGGAAGGAGGCCAGTGTAATGAAGACTACAGTATAGTAGCTACCTCTGAGTTGCTGCTGCATAGAAACTCAAGAATTGACCTTTGATTCTGTCTGTGTTCTACAGAGCTTCTATGAATTTTATTTGTCTTTGGGGAATCCACTTGGAAATTTAATTTGAAGTCACACATCTGTAGAATCTCTACAGTTATTTTGACTATATTTTCAGATGCCTGCTTTTTACTAGGAAGATTGTTTTTTAAGTGATGTGCATCAACAACATTGTTCTGAATTCACCCAAGAAAAGAAATAAAAGCATTAAACTACTTTAATAGCCCTTTTGGCTGCTTGTGACCATATATTCATAATGCCTGCCATATAGATTCTAATGCATCCACAAGGAGTCTAACAATAAAGCTGTAGGGCTAACTTGCCTTTGGGATCCAACAAGAAAGAACATCTTGGGAGAAAACTTGAACACTGAGAGAACAGAGGAACTCTGAAAAAGCAATGGTCTAAACTTGTGTCATTTGAATAAAAGGTGTAAAACAATCTCAGGAATGAAGCAAATGTGGGTGCTTACTTGGACCAAACTTCCAATACATACCATCAAACTTCTTGTAACGGGAAGCAAAGACAGCTTGCAAATTATTGCACTGTTCACTGACCACAGCTTTAAACTCATCTTTACTTTGAAGGCTGTACTTCTCCTCCATCTCTTGAGAGCAGCATGTATAACCCTGGGGGCAGACCTTCAAATGATCACCTGAAAGATAAGATGTAGGACACACTCAATTTCCATCATCATTCATCAAGTTCAAGAGAGCAGAATTTGATTTAAGGGAAGAATTTGATGAAGCACACTCTTTGCTTCATTTCTATCGGTAAGGTTACTGGCAAAAGCCTAGGCATCTTATGAACAGAAACTTTAACTAAAAACACTTATTCCCTTCTTGGAAAAATAAAAGAATAAAGCCATCTCCAAAAGACAAAAGAACCCCCCAATCAGGAAGTCTGCTACATTACAGGAAAATCAGTGTGGTCAGTAAACAGAGTATTATTCAGTATCAACACAAGTCTCTTTTTAAATTCTTTTTTTAAAACATAATTCCTTTTTATAAATATTATTTATTTTTAGTCAGAGGGGAAGGAAGGGGAGAAAGAGAGGGAGAGAGACATCAATGTGTGGTTGCCTCTCTTGCACCCCCAACTGGGGACCTGGCCCATAACCCAGGCACGTACCCTGACTGGGAATTGAACCAGAGACCCTTTGGTTCATAGGCTGGCACTCAATCCACTCAGCTACTCCAGTCAGGGCTTTTCTCTAATTCTTTAAGATTCCACTAAAGTCACAAAAAATAAGACAGTTTTTCTAGCTTTGGTAGTTCAAATTCCAAGGGAGAGTACCCTTAATGAGGAATGATTGATAAAATGTGACCAATACCCCCAAAACTGACCAAATTATGAACAACAGGATAAGCGCATTTCAAGTTGTCATCCAAGTAGAAACAAAGGGAGTTCATGCTGGATAATCTGAGTATATGATAAAGGGTGATATTATTTAAGATTTTCTCACCCAGCATCTTCTGTGCAGATGTTAGACACTGTATTGACTGTATGATTCTGTGCAATGTAGCCACACATCCCAATATAGACTAATGGTTTCCGGTAAATATAATATTTATGTAGTGAAGGAATCCTAAGGGTAAAGAGTAATGTCAAAGGCATATCACTACACAGCAGCCAAATCCACAAAGTATATCCCTCATCTACAACAACTGCATTTTGCTTGTGGTTTCACCATGGGAGTGTGGAGTTGTTGTTTTTTTAACAGATCCCAAAGTTCACACACATCTTGCTCCTCCCATCATACTTTAGAGAGGCCATACCTCTCCTTCATAATGACCAAGAGATGTAGTGCCACTCAAAAATAAATGCACTAGGTACTTCAGTCACTCCTGTATTAACTGGTATGGTAGAGGTATGCTGGTATAATTTTGCATAGAATGTTTACAAGGATTCACCTTCACCATTCCTTCTGCTATGACTGTCCATGTTCCATGTAAGAAAAACAAGATCTGACAAGAATCAAGATCTCAAGAACTCAAGAATGAGTATATTGAAGACATATGAGCCTGTCAATGGTAAGCGTGTACAATAAATAAAGGAATGGAGAATGAAGAGCAAAAATTTCTAACAATGCTAATAATAATGGGAGTTGAACTAGGCTATGAGCTGGGCTTCGCTGCTTTTTGGCTGCATGTGCTTAGAGAAAATAAGTCTTTACCTAAAGAAATACCAAAGTGGTCGGGCAGGGGAAAGTTACCTCAGATAAAATTGATTTGGCAACTTATTTGACTAATACTAGGACTGGCAATTGCACATATGCAAATAATTACATAATCATATATACTCCTGATCATTTTTCCTTCCTGGCAATTAAAAAGTAGGGAAAGTGTTACTGTCAGACAAAATAGAGTATACAGCATTAAAGGACTACTGAAGAAAGAGGGTAAAGGAAATAATCTTCAAATAACTTCTTCATCCAGAACTGTTGAAAGTCTTTTTGGCATTTTTGAAAGCCTTGGTCAACAGATAATTCTAACAGGAAAAAAAAAAAAACAAGGAGGGAGGAAGATTGTATAGAAGAGTTTAGGAGCTGTGAAGCTGCAGAATATCTTAGATCTCATTAGTGAAACAAGAAGGGTTGCTAAGGCTCAGTTTTCTGGAAACACCTTTGTTACAACCAAAACAAAACTCCCTTTTCACTGGCTTAACAAGTTCACAGCACGCCTTTGGTACTGGCACCCATAATTAACATAGAGATATCCAGTTGTCTCCTGGTTCCAAGGTTGAGGATTTTCCCCAATGCAGTCTGAATACATAAAATAATACAAAGGGTCCCATGTAATACAGTGCTTGCTGTAGCTGTATTTAAAAACCTATACTGACTTATGCCCACATAGAAAATTAATTGGGCCCTGGCTGGTGTGGCTCAGTAGATTGAGTGCCAGCCTGTGAACTGAAAAGGTCGTGGGTTCCTTTTCCAGTCAGGTCACATGCCTGGGTTGCAGGCTAGGTCTCCATTTGGGGCTGTGTGAGAGGAAACAGACTGATGTATCTCACACATTGATGTTTCTCTCCCTCCCTTCCCATCTCTCTAAAAAAATAAATATAATCTTTAAAAAAGAAAATGAAAAAAGAAAGTCAATCGGAATGCTCAGAATAAGAATTTCAGATACACGGGGCTATTTAAATGAATTCTAATAAGAGAGAAACTACTTTTTAAAGTTGTCACAGGCTAAAATACATCACAGACTGACCTTGAAGCCCCCGCAAAGATTTTGTTTAAAAGTGTATTGAATTTTCAAGGCAAAACAATTCAGGAATTTGGAAAATAATCTATTCACCTACTCTTAGCAGAGTTCACACATCAACTAAAGGGTCATTTATTGGATTCTATAAACATAGACTTCAAATTCCAAGGGAAAATACCATTTTTCTCATACCCAACGCATACATGCACAGACACACACCCTGAAGCCAGCAAATTCTAAGAGACAGCAGGAAAGAATAATGTTCTACATCTAAGAAGGTGCTAGACGTTGAAGGGTTTAAACTTACCCATAGGAATTTTACATTGAGGAGACAATCTTTAAAAACAGGTAACAGCAATAAAAATTTTACTGATAACCTGCTGAAAGGACACGGCACCATTTATACTAACACATATTAAGAGCCCAGCAGGGCCCATGTGCTCTGCCCTTTCCATACCCACCAGAGGCCCTCAGCAGGACCTTATGGAGACTTGCTTCTATCAGAACACTAGAGTACATCACTGTTTTGGCAATACTAATTAAAAAAAGAAGAAAGAGCCCACTTTCATTTTAGACAGAACTTTCCAGGACGAATTTGTCTGGTGGTGGTAGACATGCCCTGGTAAAGGACAACAACAGGTCAGATACTTGGCTGTTTCTGCTGGCAAAGTCATCTTCCCCGCAGTGCTGACAAGCTGACTCCAACACTCCACTTTTGCCCATATAGCCTTGAATGCACCACTTATTCTGTATGCATTTCTAAAAAGCATTACTTGAAAATGTAATTTGACATTCTTGCCAAAAGCTATGCCTGAGATGCATGTAGTCCAAGACACACTTGTGAATTAAATCCCAAGACACACTCAGGCTACTGGGATTCAGTGCCATAACCAGGTTTTGCTCTTGAGAAGTACAAGGAGGGAAAAGGGAGACAGTGTTGGTGCATTTAAAAATGGAATTATAGCTCCACATTTTGGTAAGAATTCAAGTAAGTCATTTGATTTTCAAAATGACTATTTCTACTTTAAGCACCCAAAATGGTTTATATTAAAAGCCAGGGCATACATATAATTTGAAAGACATAATACATTATGTTTGAGACTGCTTCTAAAATGCTATGTCTGAGTGAGAAATTCTTCTGGAGATCTCTTTTTTTATAAACCTGGTGATCCTATATACTTCTCATTTAAGGATTTCACTTTTTTTCTTTAGGCTGAGAGGGTTGAGCACAGGGACAACAGAATCCAATATGGAACAGGTAGACAGCCACTGCAGAGGTGGCACTGAGCACATGTATTTTTTAAGGGCCCTAGGTGATTTTTATATATACCCTTCCATAAAATTATTACAGACTTAAGCATTAGAGCCACAGAAGAGCAGGGAATATTAACCAATTACTCCAAAACTCCAATGAACAGTGGCTTATGATCCACACCTAACATTTGTCTCCTATATTTCCCTAACTCAACCTCCTGCTTCCATGGTCATTGCTATGTGTAGATTCTCCATGTACCTCTTCTAGTTCCTTAAAACTCTTCTGTTTTCCTTTATTTTAGTCTACCCATACTGTTCTTTCTTACCCTACTCCACCTCTTTTAACTGCACATCACATGAGACCAAAGGATTTTTATCTGTCATACTTGTTTAGAGTTCCCTGTTCTTAATTTAAAAAGCAGGTGAATTGAATGCTTTATGGTTCTCTAAGGAAACAACCAAATTAAGTTGTGTTTTGTACATGGCTCTTGATCAGTTTTTTCCCTTGTGGGTCAGTAGCCCTCAAAAGAAAAAAGGTCCCCTAGCCCCTTGTTCTAGGCGGCTTGGATGAGATTCAATGAAGCGTGCTTTTTGAAGCTTAACTCTATGGCGCTAAAAAAAAAAATCAAAAAAGCCAATTTTTTTTCAATCACACAAGCTCTATGTAATTTCTCTTTAGTCTTCATATCAAGGTCTGAGTTTTCAAAGCTGAACAAAGACAATCACAATAAATTACTACTCAATCCTACTGAGTATGTATTGGTTCTTCTTTTTTCCTTTTGCAGCACTTCAAATCAATGGTTAAAGAAGTAGGCATTGAATATGAGGAATCTATTCCATCCTTTAGAACCATGCTTTCTCGTTTTCTCATTTAATCATCTCACCAAAGGGTGGCTCTGATGTATAAATGGGATGCACCTAATGTCCATTTATTTCCAATTGCTCATAACTCACCTTCCCATAGAAAATTCTGTAAATGGTGTTAGGTTTTCAGGCCAGCCCTCAGCTTATTTACTATCAACTTGAGAATTTTTACCTATGACATATAACCATTTCTACATCTCTCTCAGAAAATTCATTTTGAAATCCAAGTAGATGCCAAGAAAAAAAATGTCTCTCAGATTTTCACACATTTGGTGGGGTAGCAATAGAGGAATACTTGTAGCCATCACTAACATGTTGACTTTCTGGGCCT